AGTGACACTTGTTTGCAAATCTCAGAAGGAAGGAAGATACGTCACCAGACGAGAGTTCGAACTCTCAGACCTCTTGGTTCTGAGTTCATACTCTACCAGTGAGAAACCCACGTATAGGAAAGTCAAGCCATTAAACGATCGGCAAATCACTCATGATAGTCAGGATATCCTTCTGATTTATTTATACCTGTATTTGCCTGTAATATTTGTTCATGAATAACGTATTGCAAAATGTTTTTATCTGAATAGAGCTTAATAATTTCAAGCGTTGGATCGAAAGGGCATATTTTGAAAACAGTTCACTTATGACATCCATAATTCAACCTCAATCCTCTGCGAAGAGCAGGCAGCGACCAACCTCGGTCAGCTAATTAGGCGTCTATGCAGCCAAATGAAGCTCCTTTAAGCAGCTTCAATCAGCGCTCTGTGGAAAGAATCCTCAAAGTGCGACGTTACCACCTGGTCACGAACGAACAGGGGCTGGTAATCACCAGTCTGAGAAAACTATTAGATTAACTCAGAGACAGAAACCTGTCTTGGTTTAATAAAACAGCCCAAAAAGAGGAAGAAACTACTTCAAACCTTTCCTCGTTTAGAAACCGTGCACTTGCCATAGACGTACACAACGTGGAAACATCTTATTGAGGGAGAACCTGCTTGCGAAGAGGAATATGACTCATGTCGCAGGAATGAATTGCCTAGTATAAATCTGAAGCATCACTCGTAATAATAACACATCATAAATCTGGATTACTTTGCTATTATAGCTCTGTCAGATTCAGATGACGGTGACAATACAACAGCAACAACTAGGCAATGATAAAACAGCAGTTCACCACGCCGTTTGAGACAGCCTCTTTTGCAGAAGGGCATCCTACGACAATCCTAAGCGAAGGATTGGGGAGGGCACTCTTCATAATGATCAAGAAAACATTGTTTCTTGTCGTGCCATGTACCATTCGAATCAAGGACGACGATGCTTGGGAGTCAAAAGTGGAATCATTTGCATCTGAGAATCCCATCATAATAACGTTACAATAATATCTAAATTCATTCCGTTATGTTTTCGTGAACGGTGACCACCATGGTCAGTTTCAGCGCGAATTTTGAATGCAAAATTGCATAACCTCTACAAATACCGACAACAGCACAAAATATGGTTCATTTTTACACCACCAAAATATTTTGGTCAGTTGAATGACTGATGTGAATATCGGCGTTTCCGTCTGTATCTCACGAGTCTTCTTTCAGGTGAAAAGAAGAGTGAGTTTCAGAACTGCTTCTTGACGTCTGCAGCAGTTCGTAAGATCGGAGGCAGAAGGCTGGATACACAGACCGTGTTTTCAGTATGACCACCAAGGCCCATACCAAATGCTCAACCTACCTCTATAAATATGCAGGCACAAATTGCACAAACATCTTATGCGATAGTCAGGTTATGAAGCAAAGAATTTTCGACGTTTTGGGTCCTACTAGGTCCATCTTCGGGAAGTGAAATCAGACAAAATAAACTCGTGCTCATGCTGCGTTGTATCAATAAAAGATTTCCGCAGTTTAGACAAGGCAAAAATGAGTGTGAAGACTAAGACGGTATTCAAGACGATATTTATTCCCATGTTCTTATAGGGTTTTGAGTTGTGGGCCATGACCAAAAGGTTCGATCCCCGGTACAAGCGGCTGAAATGGGTTTTCTCGGACGAGTCGCTGGCCTTACGCCTCTTGTCATGGTCCGGCATACAGAAACCCGTGAGAGTCTTGGTGTGCAGCCGCTGCTTCTTCAGATTAAGAAGTCACAGCTGCCATGGTTTGGGCACGTGGTGCGAATGTCTCCATTTTTTACCCAGCCGACGGGCAGAAGGCTAAGGGGACGGTCGAGATTAACCTGATACAAATATATGGAAGGAGTCTGTTCCAGACTTCAGATGTCTTTTGCCCAAGCTCAGACTCTGGCACAAGATCGGGAACGT